TCGGGGCTGTGGGAGCCTAGGATAACCCTCCAGGTAAGCCAGTAAGTGTTGGTCTGATACAAAGGCCATTTGGATTATAATTTATCCTTCTCAGATCTTGATGGTGTTGATGCCTAACTGTAGCTTTGTCAGTCCAATAGCTACAAGGAAACTAGCTCCTCACCCCAATGCTGCAGCTGCCTGGTTAGTCCATTTCATACATAAATTCAGCCCTGTTTCTAGAGCTACAGGTCCCCAGCTGAGAAAGGGAGACTTCACACTCCTTCCTTTAAAGGAGCTGTATGCCCAGTTCATGAGACCCCCAAGACCACCAGGAATCAACTCCACTGCAGAACACAAGCTCGGCCTGGGTGGCAGCAACCTCCCTGGTTGAAGAGGAGGAGCGCAGGGCCTGCGGTCGAGGGTAACAAGGTTTTTAAAGAGAAAAAAAACAAAACCGCAAGCATGGAGTTACCTGCCTTGGTGGCACATGATTGGGTAAGGGAAATTGACTTTTGAAGTGATTGGTTTACTTTAGGTGCCAAGACCATAAACAGTTCTGGCCTGGCCATCTGGGCCAGTTTCCTAGCAATTGTATCTCTAGTGGGCAGGAAAAGAATGCAGTAAAGCTAGCTCCTTTCCCCTGCTGGACAGGTCTCCACCTGGCTGGCCTTCACTCAGGCCTGTGCTCCAAACCCCAAACTAATACCTAAAAAAACAATTTTCAATGCTTTGGTCTCTCAGAACTTGCTTTGCAATGGCTGCTCTCGGTTATCAGCTGCTTGTGCTCCATGATAAATGACTGGATTAAAGAAAAGGTTTAAACTTTATTTAAGTTGTGAGGGTCTATGAAAGTGTTTTAAACCGTGTAGATGCAAGTTATAAAGGTCTAAGAAAAATTTAAGGTATATATATAAAAAAAAAACTTCCAGATTTTTTTTCTTTCTTGCTACTTATAAACATCAGTTTTGACAATGAAGTTCTGGTAATCTATTAACCTAGCCCTGGTAAAGCCCTGACTACTATTATCATGGTCACAGGCTCAACAATTTAAATTTTCTTGTTGTCTTCTAAGTGCTTAAAGTGCTTCTCATTGTGCTGAAAACATTCCTGTCCATCCGATACATCCAGCCAACCCAGAACCAACTTTTGGGCCCTCGAGCTTTTGCTAGGATTCAAAGGCATGAGTCTACTGCCTTTCCACCATGTGGATTTCAGTACAGACTACAAACAGTGGTGATGCTAGTGTGTCTAAAACCTTTATCTCTCCTTGTAAACTTAAAAAATTCAGGTAGGCCTCAGGGAGTCATGAGACTTGAACCCACCTGTCACAGATCAAATGAACTCCTGTCAATCAGCAGCCTACCTACATTTGCCTTCCTACTGCCTCTCCTTGACGAGGACTCCCCGCCCCAAGACTTAGCACCCCTCCTCTCCTCTCAGCTACCACAACCATAAACCTGGACATTTCAAGTGAACCCCTAAGATAAAGATTTTCCCCTAAACTCCTTAACTTTACCTTCTGTTTCTAGTCTGTGTCTGTCCAGGAAATTTTCACTCAGCTGAAGATTACCAACTATTCCAAAACTGCCTACAATGTGGCATCCCTGGGTGCTTCTGACAGACTTTCTGACCAGCCTGAGCTCTGCATCCTTGCCTGCTCCAAAGCAGCCTGCACTTCACTAGCCCGAGGTGGTTCTGTAGAACCTGGGCAGCAAGTGAGATAGATGTCCCCTAGCCTGAACTCTCTCCTCACTTTGACCAACATTCCAGCCTTCCTGCCCCTCCCCCCCAGCAACAGTGCATCTCAAGTTGCCTTACGACCAGGCACCCCTCCTCCTGTCAAGGCTGGACAAGGCAACCCAGCGTAGAGGCAAGGTTTCCTCTATGCTCGCCCTAGCTCCCACATAATGACAGGAAGACCTATTATTTTTTGTTTTGTTTTGTTGACCTATTATTTTTTTATTAAAAGCTTCCGGCACTATAGCTGCCCAGATACTGAGCTATTCAAATCCGACTATGCTGGCCTGGTCTACTTCCCGTCACCTGAGTCTTGCTCTGGTGCCTCCTTGTTCATGGTGTCGTTGTAGCGTCTCCTCCTGTTCTCTTACCCACCTGAGACCCTCTGACGGGGCTTAGAAGTACCATCTTTCCCCGTTCTGCCAAGCTATTGCCTGCTCAGCTCTTTACTAACCAACCAAAAGGTGATGGAGAACAATTTTGACACAACATTGAGACAGGAGATGCTTCGTGAAAAACAACCAGAGCTCTGGGTATAGAAACCTGTCCTGGAATACACAGTGCACACAAACACCCTCCAACATCCCAATAGGAGGAAAAGGTCTCGAAAGCAGGGAAAAGAGTGAGAGATAGCCCACACTGCGACTGTTAGGAGTCCCACAAGAAGACCAGCTACACAACTATAACACATATGCAGAGGGCCTAAGTCAGACTCATGCTGTTACAATTTTTTAAGGGAAAGTGAGTGCTCTGGGCCTACAAGATGGCTGGGGGGGGGGTACTGCCAAGCCTTAAATCCCAGTTTCTCTGATGAAACCCTCATGATAGAAGGAGAAAACCAAGCTGTCCTCTGACCCTTAGATTCTCACTATGTGTGGTGGTGATTTGAATAGATTTGGCCTACACAGACTCCTGTGACTGCTTGGCCAACAGAGAGGGGCACCATTAGGGGTGTGGCCTTGTTAGAGAAAGTGTGTCACTGTGGGCGTGGACTTCCAGGTCTCCTGTGCTTTCCCCAATGTGGAGGACAGTCTCCTCTGCTGCCTGTGGATCAAGATGTAGAACGCTCGGCTCCTCCTGCACCATGTCTGCCTGCACACTGCCGTGCTTCCTGCCATGATGATAACGCACTAAACCTCTGACATTATAAGCCAGCCCCAAATTAAATGTTGTCCTTTATAAGAGTTGCTGTGGGCATGATGTTCCTTCTCAGCAATAAAACCCAAACTAAGATACCAGGAAACATGTACACACACACACACACACACACACAAATAAGTGTAAAAAAATTAAAACAGCTCCTACAGTTCAACTACAAATAAGCAACTCAATTTTAATATGGTCAAAAGGCCTGAATAGACATCCCTCTGAGGAAGATACAGAGATGGCAGGCAGCAAACACAGGAAAGATGTTCAGCATCACTAATTATCAAAGAATGGCAAACCAGACCAAACAGGCAGAGTAAAGTTCAGTGGGGGAGCACTTGTTTGGCAAGAACACAAGCCCAAGGCACAGAGTGGAACAATGATGCATGCCTAGACACACACACACACACACACACACACACACATACACACACACACACACACACACACGGGGGGTTGGATAGAAAACGGAACAGAGGAGAAGTTGAGGTAGTTTGGTGAGGACGAATCAATAGTAAAACTATACATTATTTGGTAAAACGGACAATTAGTCTTTCACGCAGCCCCATGCAGCAGACCCACCTAGCATGCATAATACCCCAGGACCCATCTCCAGCACAGCCAAATAATTCGCATCGAAACAAATAACCAACTATTTGCCACACTTCCCACCCTCCTGCAGTCTCCACCCTTCCCACCCTCCACAGGAGTGGGGCTTCCTATACCCAAAGACAGTGGATGGGAGTGCCAGGCACCAGACCCTCTCTGCAACAGAACATAGAGGCTCTCCCCACCCTCAGGAACCTGCCGCTCAGGCGGCCTCTGTAATCATTTCTGCCGGGCCAGGAGGCACAGGCTGTGCCTTCGCTACCTTTTAGTGAGGTGACAGGAAGTGACAGATAGTACAAAACCCAGGAAATGTATTATCAGATTTTATCTTTTTCATTTTTTCGTTTGTTTGCTTTTCTTTGGAGACATCCTCCCTCCCTCCCTTTTTCCTTCCTTCCTTCCTTCCTTCTTTCTTCCTTTCTTTCTTTCTTTCTTTCTCTCTCTCTCTCTTTCTCTCTCTTTCTTTCTTCCTCTCTCTCTCTCTCTCTTTCTTTCTTTCTTTCTTTGTAGCTGTGGCTATCCTGGAAATCGCTCTGTAGACCAGGCTGGCCTTGAACTCAAAGAACTGACCTCCTGCCTCTGATTCCCAAGTGCTGGGATTAAAGGCCTATGCCAGCACTGCCCAGACCTTTTTATTTTTATTTTCTAAAGATTTATTTGTTTTTATTTTATGTGTATTGGTGTTTCGCCTGCATGTTTGTCTGTGAAGGTCTTAGATCCCCTGGAATTAGAGCTACAGACACTTGTAAGCTGCCACGTGGGTGCTGGGAATTGAACCTCAGTTCTCTGGAAGAGCAGCCAGTGCTCTTAACCGCCGAACCATCTCTCCAGCCCTTTGTTCTTTTAAAGAAGAAAGTTTACCTTTATTTTCTGTGTATTTGCCCGAATGCACGCACGTGCACCACGTGAAGGCAGAAGACGGGGTCAGATGCTCTGGAGCTGTAGATAGACAGTGTGGGAGGCGGAAGCGAACTCTTAACTGCTGAGCCGTGTCTCCCCAGCTCCTCTTTGCTTTCTTGAGCTAGCATTTCACCAAGAAGCCCAGGCTGCCGTGGAACACGTGATCGCCCTGCTCTCTATCTCCTGCGTGTTGGGATTTCGGGCTTTGCCACCAGGCGTGCTAGGATTTTCCCTCTTTCTCTGAGGGGTTGGGTGGACTGCTGAGCTGGAAGCCTGAGCATACTGGTAAAAGCGTGCCCCAACCCTCGCGCCTCTGTGAGGCGAGGTCAGCATCTGCAGACCTTCCCAGGGAGCCGGGCGGTGGTGGAGCACGCTTTTAATCCAGGCCAGCCTGGTCTACACAGACAAACCCTGTCTCAAACAAACAAAGAAGACCGTGGCCGGCCCGGTCGGACATCCCTCCTAGGCCCCGCCCTGGCACTGTCCAGGCTAGTCCACCCAGCTCTGCGCTCCACCTTCCTCCCTTCACTCGGCCGGCCCGGAAGCAGCGCCGCTCGGCGGTCGGAAGTTCCGCTCGATCCCACCAGGGGGCGCTCGAGCACCGCTCGCGAGCCGGTGCGGCGGCCGGGGCTTTTCCGAGTCTGGTGGCCCGGCTGTTGGATCTAAAAGCTGGGGCTGGAGACCAGGGGTGGGGCGCTCTCCGTCTCTGTTTGCGAAACGCTGACTTGTAAGTATCACTTTCTGGTTTCCACAATGGCAAAGAACAAAACTAGACATAAATCCCACCTCAGACGCCTGGAAAGTCGAGGGCATCTACAGCCCCGCCGGTGCAGACGCTAACTATGCCTGGGGAGGAGGGAAGGACAGCGGGACTCCAGCCCCAGTCGGTGCATAGCCAAGCTTCCCGACTAACAATCCCTACACACAGCCTCCTGTGCCTCGGGGCTCCGCGTTCCCACCAGGCGAGCCAACAGGCCTGGACCTAGTCCTTGGATTGGCAGGTCGACGCGCTTCCTGCTCCGTGCAGCTCCAGTTTGGCTCAGGCTCAGCTGAGCAGCCCAAGGCCCTGGATTCTACTTTGGGACAGAGAAGGGCTCGCCCGTGTTCTTTTGGGTCAGAAGTGTGCAGCAGAGCCATTTTGTCCAAAGGCATTACGAGCAGAGACTGCCCTCAAGTCCAGTGTGGCCAGCCTCCAGCGTAGGAGAAGTGGTCTTTGCATCTGCCAGGGAGCTCTGTCCTGTCCACATCTCTATGGAATGTAGGGGAAACAGGCTGGGGAGTGAGACCAGTGCAGATACGGGTATTTTCACAGTCTGAGAGGCAACACCCGGAAGCTGTGGTCCACAAGGGCAGAGGAGGCGGCAGCAGACCGACATGAGCCTGGTTCCCGCAGGACCCATGTGGAAGAAAAGGCTGCACTCCGGCTGTCCCCACTGCAGGGCAGGAGCGCTTGGCCCCTGTATAGTTACTTTTAAATGTCAAGAAAGGGAGGCACTGCAGTGGCACAGGTCTTTAATCCCAGCACCCAGAAGGCAGAGGCAGGTGGATCTTTGTGAATTCAAGGCCAGCTTGATCCACATGGTTGCAGAACAGCCAGCAGAACTACATAGGGAGACCTGGCCTCAAAAAAAAAAAAAAAAAAAGGGAGGGGGAGGTGAGAAGAAGAGAAGGAGGAGGAAGAGGAGGATGAGAAGGAGGAACACACAACCCCAAAGGGTAGGCTGGGTGTGGTGGCACACATCTTTAATCCCAACACTGCAGAGGCAAAGGCTGACAGACCTCTGTGAGCTCCAAGTCTACATGGTGAGACCCTGTCTCAAAAATAAATAAGTATATTTTAAAAGTAAAGTTTAGAAAGTGATAGACGAGCAAAGGAGGCAGAATAGGAGAGGCTTACAAGTCTCTGCTGGTTTACAGGGCTTACCCCCAGGACCCAGGGCAGGCCTGGGCATGAGCCCCTGAGGCATTGCAGCAGGGCCCAGCTTATCTCACAGGGACGTCACAGAGAGAAGCTCCAGGGCTCCAGCTCCCTTCATGGCCTCTTGTACTGGTTTTCAAAACACCTAGCACCTTTGGCTCAGCCTCCCTGGGAGGGCAGCTGAAGGCTGTGGATGATGCTGGCTCTAGCATGCTTACCAGCAGCTGGTAGCCAAACACCTCCTCAAGCCTCACGCTGTCAGTCCTCCCACAGCACAGTGTATGCTGGGAGCCTCAGCTTGCCCTTATGCCCTGCATCTCCTCATTGCTTCCTTCAGGCAAACCTTGCATCATCTCCCAGGTGGCAGGTGACTGAGCTACAGGGACAAGATTCTAGACAAACAGCTCTTGAGCCCCAGAGGTCCACTGAAGAGGAAACTGCCCCTGCAGGATCCAGGTCCTGCCAAGGATGTGTGGACTGAACCCCTGGGATGCTGCCCTGGGGCTTGAGGCTTAGCATTGGGATAGCACTACAGAAGGCTAACTGCTAACTGGTTTTGTTGGTAGTGGTGGTTTTAGGTTTTTTGTTAGTTGGTTGGTTTTGGGGTTTTGTTTTTGTCTCCCCCCCCCCCTTTGGGGCTTTCACAATGGGCCCAAGTCTGAGTGTGAAGCATGGCTGAACATAGCTTAGAGCACAGCTCAGCTCAGTGACTCTTGGAAGAAGGAAGTGGGGTGAGGGCTTCAGGGACTCCTTCATTCTAGTCCCTGCTGAGCTCAGGATGCCTAACACCACTTCAGGAGGTGCTCTGGAGGTCTAATCAGACTCATGCATGAGGCCAAAGGTCAGCTGGTCTGAAGAAGAGTCAGGAGAAGACAAAGAGAAAGGCCTGGTCCTTCCTACTCCACATTTGAAGACTGACTTCACACCTAGCATGAGGCCAATAGGTGGGAATCAAAAGACCAGCAGGATGGAAAGGATAGAAGTGTGGAGGCACAGGGGCACGATGAGCTAACATCCTGCCTATGCTGCAAACCATCCTGTCTCAAAGCCAGTGGTAGTGGTGCCACCTTTAATTCCAGCGCTTGGAAAGCAGAGGCTCAAGGTCATCCTTGACTTCATAGTTAGCCTTGGATACATCAGACACTCGCTCAAAAATAAATAAATAAAATACTACATTTGGCCAGGTTGTGGTGTACTCCTTTGATCCCAGCACTCAGGAGGCAGAGGCAGGCAGTTCTCTGAGTTCCAGGTCAGCCTGCTTTACAGAGTGAGTTCCAGGACATTCACAGCCACACAGGGAAACCCTGTCTCAAAAAACCAAAAATAAAAAATAGGAAGTACCTGACAAAGCAAAGCTGGGGAACTGAGAGTCTTTGGAAACATTTGGGATGGGGAATCTCCCTCCTGATTAATAAGTCCATGAGCCCATGTGAGGCCTGGGAGATACTTTGTGGAGACCTCCATGCCTGGAGCTAGAGCAGGGGGGAGGGGAAGAGGGGCATGGGGTGCGGGGGACAGGGAGAGTAAGGAGAGCAGGTGAAGGCTGCAACCCAGAACTTTGCTCAGGTAGGGTCATTCTGGCTGTCTGGGGTGTCTTCCTGTTTGAAAAGATGTGGCATAGAGATCTTCAGCCTTAGGAGGATCCAGGTCTTTCTGAACAGGAACCACTGTGGCCAGAGCCATGCCTGCTAGGGGTCCTGGGCCTTTGTACCTCATGTTAACACCATGGAACTTGTACTGGGAGTCCTGTAGTCCCCAGAGGCCAGACAAGGCTTGTGGATGGCTTCCCCTGCCCCGGAAATGGCCCTGATGGCACTGTGCACTGTCTTGTCCAGTGGCCGCAGCAGCTGGTTTCCTGATGTAGAAGGGTACTCCCAGGTATACATCCTATCTTTAGAGTCCCTTACCTGGTGGGCCCAGCAAGGCTGTGGACAGGAGTCTGGGGAAACTTCAATGCTGGCAGCTCTCCTGTGGCCCCTTAGCCAGAACCCTCAGGAGCCTAGACTCCAGGGAAACTTTGATACCTGGGTGGCCTGGCTGACTGCTGCTGCCACAGCTGTGAGGTGTTTACCTGGCAGATGCTAGAAGAGACTTGTCTCGGGAGAGTGGGTCCTAGGAAGCCATCTGCCTGGAGATGAGTCCCTAGGATGTCAGGAACTCCCTTTCCCAAGGCAAGGCCCAAGGCAGAGAAGAGAGCTGGAGGCCAGGGCCGGGCACTAGCAGCTCAGAGTCTAGGTTACTCCTTTGCCCTAGACAAGCTGTCACGGCCTCAGGCCCATGTCAGGTTCCTAGGTCTGGTATGGCCAATAGCATGTATGTGTTTCTCTTCCCTGGCCCTAGGACCTCCTTACTGTGCATGCCCAGGTCTGTAGGGAACCTTACAGGGAAGGAAAGGTTTTGGTCGGAGCTGCTTGTGGACCAGTCTGCCTTACCAAGCCACCCATCAGGCCCCATCTCTGGACTGAGACCTCTACCCTACATCGTCCTCTTATTTGTGTATCTGTGTATCTGTCTGGGTTTGGGTATAGGCCTCTGCACTCCTCAACCTTTGTGGCATTTCCATTCCTTCTTTCTCACAGAGTATGCACCCAGGGTATGGCACCAGCTGTGCCTTCAGGCCAGAATCTATGACTGCAGGAAGTGGTGGAAGCCCAAGAAAACAACTGTGGCCATTGCTTAAGTTGCTTTAACAACTGGGGCAGAAATAGGACTGGGGGCTTGTTGGGAAGGAGGGAACAATGGGGTACCTAGGGGTAGGGCTGGGGCCCACAGCTGGGGAAGAGAGCCCTGCCTTGCTTAGGCTGTGAGGTGGAACTGAGCAGTCCAGGGATCCTGGAATTGTGTTTTTTTCAGTTATCCCTTCCAGCACTAACTGGACATTCTGAGGAACCAGTGTGCAGAGCTGCCCTGGACACTGTCTTGTACAGTGTTCCTGTACTGAACAGGACCTTCAGCCATGTGTCCCACAAGCAAACAAAGCCTCCTTTCCGTGTAGCCTGGCTGCTCTCCAAACTCTCAGGTTTTGATTTTGTGTGTGTGTGTGTGCGTGTGCGCGAGTTGATGTTTGGCTTATGTCTCTGTGAAGGAGTCAGATCCTTCAAATCAACTCAGAACTTGAGTTACTTACATTTGTGAGCTGCCATGTGGGTGGTGGGAATTGAACCCCAGTTTTTTGTTTTGTTTTGTTTTGTTTTTTTGTTGTTGTTGTTTTGGAAGAGCAGACCATGCTCTTAACAGCTGAGCCATCTCTTCAGCCCCTTGGTTTTGATTTTTTAAAGATGGTCTCACTTGGTAGTTTATGATGGCCTGGAATTGGCTATGTAGACCATGCTGGACTTGAATTCACAGCAACCTTCCAGCCCTGGCCTCTGGAGTCTTGGGATTATAGGCACAAATCACCATGCATAGCTCCAAATTCTAGCTTTAGCAGGAAGACGGGTTGTGCAGCGGATAGACACCCCCAAGGTTTTCCCCTCTTTTTACAGCATTTTTTCCTCCTGCCTGTTGACAGGTAACAGTCCCATCCTTTGTGCTGGAAACTTCGTGTCGTCTAGACAGAGCTGCTGATGGTATCCTCAGCTTTCTGCTCCCAGATGCTTCTGAATACTGCAATGCTAAGCTGATGTGACCAGAAAGCAGAGCTCATAGCAGTGATTTCCTTACCAGGCAAAGAGAGACACCACACAGAAGAGCAGAGGCATGGGTAGGCAATGGAGTACCCCAACAGCCTCTCGGAACACCTGGATCCAGCCTGCTCATAGCCCAGAAGTTTGTTCATGAACTATTTGTCAAGTCTGTCATTTCCTTTTTATATACAAGATGGTTTAAGCTTTTATACTCGTTGGCTTGACTCTCAATGTTTCAACTTCTGTGTCCGTGCTCCTACTCTCTCTGCTCATAGCTGCCTTCTCCTCCACTAGAAAGGTTTATGTTTAGATGAAGATGGTACCAGAGAGGTTCTCTATGGCACGCAGGCCATGGCATAGGCTCAGAGGTTCATACATGCAGCTCAGGGTTAGGTGCCCTCCACATATTCCAGAGAGAAGGAGCCACCCTGGCCACATCAGGCCTTTCCTGAGCAGTGTATGTGTCTCGGGCAACAAGGAGCCATCTGGCCTTTCCCCAGGTTTCTGACCCAAGTGAGTGGAGGAGACACAGTCTGCCCATGCTCATTGATAAACCACTCACCTTCATCCTCCATCCCAGACCTGCCACTTCCGTTTTATTTGTTTTGTTTATTGTTGGAGGAAGGCAAGCACATGCCATAGCACAAGTGTGGGAGTCAGAGGACGACTTCACTTTTCCTCTTCCACCTTTACATGTCCCAAAGATTAAACGCAAGATGTCCAGCTTGTGGGTAAGCACTTTTACCCACTGAGCCACCCTGCCAGCACGTACTTGATTTTTGAGACAGTGTCTCTCTATGAAACTCAAGCTGCCTTCAAACTAGACTCAGCCTCCCAAGTGATTGGATTATCAGGGTGTCAGGCTCACTGGGCACTTTTGACATCCCTTCTGTTTACATCTAAGTTTGGTGTCCTGCATTCGGGATGTCTGGTTTGTGATTAAAGGTAAGTGTTCAGAAGGGTCAGGGCTAGAAGCCTGGTAAGAAGAATGGGCACAGGGCCCGTCCCCTGTGAGACTGGGAGGGCGCTGAAGACCCTTTAAGCATGCTGGCCAGCCTACAAAGACCACCCACCCAAGCTGAGTACGGTGGGGGTGATGACAGCTTCAATCCTAGCATGAGGGAGGCAGAGGCAGTCGGAGATTGAACAACTGAAGACACACAGAGAGACCCTGTCTCAAAACAAAACAAACAAAAACAAAAAACAAAGACCTCCCACCCCTCTCCTTCCATGTCCCTTCCTTGGGATAGATGTATCGCTGGAGGATAGGGCTGTGAATTGCATGAGTCCTGTCCCCGTGCCTTAGCAGAGATGGACACTGGAAATTATGCTAAGGGGGGTGAAATAGACATGAGGGTCTCCTCAAGAGCCATGGCCCCATTCTTTCACCAGACCTTGCCTTTGGAAGCCCACAGGAACTAATTAGCACTTTCTTCCTTCTCACCTACATTCTGAGTCCCTGGGCACCATCACATGTCCCTTCCCTTTTTCCTTCCTCTACTCTGGGGGTGGAGGCAGGGGCAGTGCAGGTTCACGTACTGGAAGTGATGGTGGGATAAGTGTGTGGCAGAGAAACTAGACAGCACTCGGGGACAGGGATGGGTGCCCAAGGGCCTGAGTCCAGGCCCTGACAAAGGACTTTACTGGTCACTATCCTGCCCTTTTTACCAGATCTGGAAATCTAGACATGTTCCTTGGTGTTTCAAGCTTCTTCAAAGCCTGGCTGGAGCGAGGCACCAGGGCAGTGCCTTGCTCTGGGTCCCGGTCACATGTCTAGATTGTTTGAATAATTCAGATTTAAGAAGACCTACTTTCCTGTTAGGCCATTTCCTGCTAAAGAGCAGATGGGGGAGGGGCATTTGAATTATACATCCATGCTCCCTGGGTTTTTAGAGAAGGCTGGGCACTGAGCCAGCCCCAGGGCTGTGTCTTCACCCTGGAGCCAGGCTCAGCCCTGCAGCCACTGCTGCTGGGCCCTGGGCTTGTAACATCTGACTGGGTGTGGCTATGGACTTGCTAGCTGATTTCTGAGATGTTTCCTGAGAAGGGAGTGTGCCTGGAAAATCAACAGAGGTCTGAACTCTGGGCTGAAGGCAGGGATCCCTCAAATTTCTGTCTAACTATGGAGAGGGCCGAGCAGCAGTGTAGGATCCAAGAAACACAAGAATTCTGGACTAAAGAGGGCGGATGAAGGAGGCTTCAGACTCTCTGGATACAAAAGGGAAGGCCAGCTTCTTATCATCTTCAGGGCAGGATCGTGGCTGCTAGCTGGAACGGGCTGGAGAAAGACCAAGGTTCAGGGCCAAAGGTCCCTCCCGCTCCATGAGTACAGATATCAGAGAGGGGTGAGGCCATGTGGCAACCTGGAGCTTCAGCTAGGGATCTGAGAATCAGGGGCCAGCCCCTCCCTTCTTCCTTCCTTCCCCTCAACTTTGCCCCTGACACCCTGTCCATAAACACATAAATGATGACTTCAGCAAGTGCCGTGGGGCACGTTCCAGGGAAGGCTCGGCCCACCCTGAACAGTCACAGACCACATAGCATATGGAGGCACAGAGGCTAAACCTCAAAGCCTGAGGAGAGGTTAAAGCAAGGATTCCAAATTCTAGTATAACCTGGGCTGCATAGCAAGATAAGATCCTTACTCTAAACAATCCAGCCATAACAATCATGTTAGGCTCATTGATTTCATAAGGGACTTTGCTCATGGGCTGGCAATAACTGGGATCAGGGAAGTAGCTTATGGAGAACAGGGGTGTCCCAGAGCCTAGCCAGTCTGTTCCCTCCCTGCCCCCATCTTCACTTATGAGACCTAGATGTAGCTGAGGGCCTTACAGCAACTTAGAGGGCTCTGTAGAGAGAGCTGGTCTTGTACACTTTGGGCTAACTGCCTCTGTCCATTTCCCTTCTATACCACCTCTTCCTTCCTCCCTCTCATCCTCTTATTTCTGTGTTAAGTCCTTTACCAGGGAAGTCCTGAAGGGCAGGCATCAGGCCTTCTGGGGTTGGATGACCACCTTAGAATCTGGGACCACCTGACAGTACCCACAATACTTGACAATACCTGACCCTCTAATTTTCTACTGGTACTGGACTGTACTCCATGCCCCAACCCTTCTCTGTGGAACCAGCGGGAGCCTGGGGCCCAGATGTCTCCTGGTTACCCAGCTTTTCATGTTCCTCTGGCTCCATCCTTTTGGAACAGCAGTGACTGGCAGAGACCTTGTCCCTCCCCCTCACCTCCTGGTACAGCTTTGGTTGCTGGGTCTTGACTTGGAACTCAGAATGCTACTTAGATACCTTCTTCTCAGGCCATAAATATTCTCCAGGATCCTCAGGAGTTGGCATGTATATGGTGGGTGAGGAAGTCTTCACAGGAGTCACAGTGAAGTAGGAAAAGAGCAGAGCCAGGCTGCTGGGAATAGGCCACTCTTGAGTATTGAATCTGGCACTGGATGTCCTGTTAGGACTGGACTAGCAAGGGTTGGGAACATCTGTGCAGCAGTGACAGCAGCAAAGGCCTTGTCTTCACACAGTTATGGAATAGACCCTTCTGGGAAGATGGAGTCACAAGGGACAGATGGGGGGAAGTTTTCTGGACTCTATTGGAGAGGGTAGAATGATGGAGATCAGCTGTCAATGGCTTTAAGTAAAAGCTGGTCAGGAATGAAAGTAAGTCAGGTCTTCCTCTGATGGAGTGAAGGACATAGAGGCCCGGGGATCAGAGGCCCTAGTGGGGCAACATCAATCATGGTTATTCTTGGGATAACCGGAACCAGGTCTCTTACTCTCAAAGCAGGTCACTCACAGAGAAGGAAGAAAATATGAACAAACCCTGCAGTCTTTTGGAGAGATAAGTACACTTATTGTACTCAAGAAAAACATACAAATGTCCACATGACTGTTCGTATATACATATATGTATTCTCATGTATATATGTGTTTTCCCCCAGGCTGTCTGCTCAGCAATCGCATTTAGTAGCAAGGAATACTCAGCGCCTGAATCCACACTTCTGCAGCCCACCAGCAGGAGACCTAGCTTGAAATAAGGTGTCAGTCCAGGAATGACACAGGGAGGGCCTATGAGGACATTTTCAAGGCAGAACCATGACAGGGGAATTTCTGTGGCCTGCAGGGCAAAATGTGGAGACCACACAAAGGCTGTTTCATGAAGGAGCAGAGTGGGGAGGAGGTAGACCTTGCCGCTCCGTGCAGGAGCCAAGAATGGAAGCTATCAAGTGTGAAGGAGAGCCTCCTCGGGAGGAAGTATGGAGGTATGGAGGTGGCAGGTCCCAGAGGCCAACGAAGGAGCCAGGCTGAGATGAGGCCGCTAGACAGGGTTGTGGCCCTGGTTTGAGAGGCTAGTGCAGGCCTGGAAGAAGAGAGTTACTAAGCCTGTTCTGGAAAGAACAGAATGGGAGTGAAGGAGTCGGCGTGGCAGGAGCCGTGGTAGTCGAAGGTGGCTGGAGAGACAGGCAAGACGGGCCTGACTGAATGGCACGCATGTCTTAGAGATTCTGCAGTTTACTCCTGACATCTTCCTGTCCCATCTGGCTACTCTTGCGCGGCCTAGGCCCCGCTAGGCCGCTCACGCATGCCCTCCCGCCCTCCCGTTTTGGCCATACAGGCAAGACACATCGCCCTCCGGCTTGGGGCAGTGGCAGCTACAGCAGTAGGCCAGGGCCTGAAGCCAACGAGGCCCGTAGCCACGCCGGCCTCTCCAAGACCCCCGTGCGGGACCACGGTTCCTTTAAGCCGCTCGCGCACGCGCAGAGAGAAGGAGGGCGGGGCGGTAGCCGCGGCACGCGCACGCTGTCCGTGCGCGGTGACGCGACGTGGGGTTTCCCGAGGCTGCGGGCAGGGGCCGCCGCGCCCATCCTGATGGCTGGAGGCGTCTGAGGGGCGGACGGCGACGACGACGGCGGCGGCGGCGGCGGCGGCGGCGGGCGCGGGCGGCGAGGGCAGCGGGGCCGGGACTGGAACAGCCGCCGCGCGGACCCGACCAGCCTCGCCGGCTCCTGCCCGCAGGCCGCGAGCGCGACGACCGGGACGACCAGGCGGCGGCGTGGGCGCCAGACTGGGCGAGGTGAGCGCGGTTGGGGTCTGCGAGCGGCGCCTGGCCCGGGCTGGGCCGGGCCCCTCGGCCCTTCTTCCCGCCCAGGGGTCATCGCCCGCCCGCCCGCCTCATCCTGCTCTTCAGGGTGGGGCCGGCGGGGACGGCGATCCCCGGCTGTGCCGGGTGGGCGGCGGGGCCTGGGTCCCGGGTTGGAGGATGGGGCGGAGCCGCTTAGGCCGGGATGCGGGCCGGGGCCGGGGTCCTGGGTTCAAGGCCAGGTCTGGGATCCTGGGCTGGGGTCCTAGGTTCAAGGCTGGGGTGTGGGGCTGGGACCGGGGTCCTGGGTCCGGGCCAGGCCCGGTGTCGGGATTCGGTTCCCAGAGCCCTGGTCCCGGGATCAAGGCTCGGGCAGGGTGCTCTAGGCCAGTGTGCCGGATCCCAGCGGCGGTCCTGAATCTTAAAAAAGGGAGCGGGATGCAGGCCTGGCGCCCGGGTCGGGGATCCGCGCCTGGGCGGGACTGCCTGGGCCAGGATGTCGGGCGCGCCCCAGGCGCTGCTTCTCGCGGCGGGGTCCCCGCGGGAACAAAAGCTGAACTCTGCCCTCCCGACCGCGCCTTCCTGCGGGGCGTGGGACCCGGTCGGGCCGCACGCGGAGCTGACGCGGGGCGGGTCTCCCGGATTCGGCGGTCACCCTTGCCGGACGCCGGCCTACCGCCTGCCGCGCTCCCCGGCTCCCCCGGCTCCCCCGGCTCCCGGCGTTCCTGGTCCCAGGCGCCCGCGAATGAATGGGCGCCGCGTCCGGCCGCCGCGACAAGATGGCGATGCCCGCCTTTGTCAGGCAGGACCGCGCCGTCCGCCGCCGGGGCTGAAAACAAAGGCTGGCCCTGGCGGCCGGTGCAGAGGAAAATGCGCCGGGTCCAGGTTCTCCTGGATGCCGGGTTCTGGGTGGGGACCTCTGGCCCAGAGCCCTCAGCGGGTGGTCTAGCCTTTCTGTGTCCCCTGGGGAACTGCAGCTTGCCTTTTGACCTTTTGATATATTTAGACTTTTTTTTTTCGGGGTTTTTTAAACGACACGGTTTTAGTTTCCCGAAGTAGCATCCCTGTATGTGTTCAGTTCAGCCTTACAGAAGTAACGCCAGAATTTGTATTTTGAGAGGACAATTAGTGGAATTTATAACTAAGTGCATTACCTTGTGTATGAATTTTGACATTTCAGGTGTAGTGTTGGTTTGGTAGTAATAGCTCTTTTATGTTTGTTTCTATCTGATAACAGCAATCAGGCTTTGTGTGTGGTTAAGTAGCCTGTGAGATTATTAACCAAGAAAATATAGTCGATTTTTCTTTATGAGCAAATAAATGGCAGTGTTAATCTTGTGAAAAGTTCCACATCTGTGGAGACTGAATGTGGCCTTCAGAGAAAGCATTAATCTGTTTCTAAATAGCTTTTTTGTTTGTTTGCTTGGTTTTTTGTTTTTTTTTATACATTTGAAACTGTAGTGTTTTTGGTGGTGAGAAAAACAGTCTTTATTTGAAAATAAGGTTTTTAGTTCTCATGCTAAGATGTCTCTGGATTCTTCTGGAAAGTACTTCATACTGCAAAAAGAAAATAAAGGAGCAGTTCACTTTCTCCTGTCTTACACTCGGTGTTTGGCCGGGCATGGAAGTGTGAAGACAGCCTTTGAGCCTCTAGACAACAGAACGAGGTTCTGGCTTGATATGACTTAAGGGAGACTGACCTTTCTCACAGACCTGTACAGGAATGTAGTGCATCTGGGAAGGCCGGCATCTCCATGGAGAAGTCTAGACTATAGGTGTAGGGCCCTGCCTGCATTTTATTTCACTGCTACAGTATGCGATCTTTCTTAGAAGGTGGGAGTCTAGAAAGTCAGAATAGGTTGTCTGAGGCTGTGTGTGTGCTCATACCTGCTGCCTGGCTCCTGGGCCTACTGTCATACCCAGTGTCAGCATTGTATTTGTGCAGGAGATTGAAGATGCAACCTTTTGACAATGTCTTTCCTCCCTGAGCTCACCCACTGGATGCAAACAGTTCTTTGATAGCATCTGAGCTGACAAGGCTGTATGTGTTTCATCAGAGTGGTGGAGAGCGCCCATCAAGTATACTTTTGAAAAAGGCTTTGTTTGATAGCCTTAGTTATATCTAATTTGGGGGAGAGGAGATCAGGTAAATTTCCTCACACTCGGAAGTTTGCAGAATAAACCAGATGTGGTACGATGTTCTGTAAATCCCAGCAGTCTGGGCAGCCTAGTCTACCTACAGCCTATGCCTTGTCCAAACCCTCCCTTTCCCAAAGTCTGCATTTTAGGGTTTGTGTCTCTCTTCCTAAAAGTAGAAACTTTTCACATCTGCTAGTGAGGATGATTTCAGAGTGTATCCAGGTGCATATATACTGATCACTGGAGGAGAGTGCACAGACTTCCTGCGGCTTTGTTAGTCTCACTTAAATACTGGACTGGCTAGCAGGGTGTGGTGGCACACACCTGTGATCCCAGCTCTTGGGAGGCAGAGGCAGGCAGATCTCTGTGAGTTCAAGGCTAGCCTAATCTACAAAGCAAGTCCAGGACAGCCAAAACACTATTACACAGAGCAACCTTCTGTCTTGAGAAACAAAACACTGGGCTCGGGGTTCAGGTACTCAATGCCAACCAAGCCTGAGGACCTAAGTTAGGTCCCTGGTGCCCCTTTGGGGAAAGGGGGACATTCACTCTTGCCAGGCATCCTGCAATCATGCACATACTTGGACTAAGTAAGTAGGTGTTGTTGGTTTTTGTTTTTGTTTTTTTTCCCTTCTCTGTGAAGCCTTGGCTGTCCTGGAATTTGGTCTGTAGACCAGGCTGCCCTGGAACTCTCAGAGTTCCACCTGCCTCTGCCTCCCAGAGTGTTGGGATTACAGGCATGCACCACCACCTTCTGGCTAAGTAAGTATAATTTAAGAAAATCTATTATCCATTGGTATTGGAAAAATTAACAGCTCTAAATGTATCCTTGAGAAAGGCGTGAGCAGTCTGGAATCACCTACTGTTAGTTGGCTGAGTGGCCAGTGCTCACTGTGTGAGCTGCAGTAGTTTTGTTTTAGAAGTATAGTAGTATCTGCAGTTACTGGTTTGTTCATTGGATTGTTTTTCTCTGCCCAAGAGATTTGGCTCATGTCAGTCACCAAATTGGATTAAATTCTTTATGTGGGCTTTGGCTTTAGCATTAGTGGATTGGTAATAGATATTCTCAGTTTTATTATCTGGACTTGACCATATGGTGTGCCTTTCCCCATCTCCCTTTAGTTTTTAAAAGAATATTTCACTCTGTAACCCAGGTGGTCCTGGTATTCACTAGGTAGTCCAGGCTGGCCCCTATCCCCTGGTGATCCTTCCTCCTCAGCTTCTCAAGTGCTAGGATTTAGACATGCCATCATGCTCAGCTTTACACGCTGCCCCCCTCTTTTTTTAATCCCGAGACAAGCTTTCCCTGTGTAGTCCTGTCTATCCTGGAACTTGCTCTGTAGACCAGGCTGGCCTCAAACTCACAGAGATCTGCCTGCCTCTGCCTCTCAAGTGCTGGGATCACAGGCGTGCGATACCACCACCTGGCCTATGCCATATTGTTTTAAAACCTTTATTTAGCATAAGTCTCATAAGACATGAAGCAGTTTTTTTTTAGAATCTTAGAGGTTTAATTGTTAAAATCGTTAGTATTTTATATGTATGTGCATGCATATGTGTGCGCACACACCCGTGTGTGCTTGGTTCCTGCAGAGGCCAGAAGGCTGGGAACTGGGAATAAAACCCAACTTTCTTGTAGAGAGAACGAGATGGCTGAGTCAGCTCATTTTCTTAATTCATAATTTTTAAGTCTTTAATTTTTCCTTAGTTCTTAGTAGTAGTAGTTATTTTGAGACAAGGCTACATAGACCAGGCTGTTCTTGAACCCACAGAGATCTGCCTACCTCTGTCTCCTTCCTGAGTGCTGGGACTAAAGCTGTGAGCTACCATGGCTGGCATCTTCTTAATCCCCCCTCCTTCCCCTCCCCCCCCCCATACACAGGGGTTATCTGTGTAGCCTTGGCTGTCCTGTACTTACTTTATAGAGCAGGCTGGCTTCAAACTCAGAGATCCACCTGCCTCTTCTCTTGAATGCTGGGATTGCAGGTATTCGCTACCGTACTGGCTTCCTGTTAATTCTTACCTTGATTTAAATTCTGATTTTAGGAGCTGATGGTGAGTACTTGTAAGCTCAGCACTTGGGAAGTGGAGGCAGGATCAGGATCCTGCTCAAGTTTAGCTGCATAGTGAGGGAATCCAGACTGGGCAATAGGAGACCATATTTGAATAATTCCAGGTTTGCATTTGGGTTTTTGTTTTGTTTTTAAGGCAGCTCATTGTACTGCTCAGGCTAGTCTTGGACCACTCAAAGGATCCTTATCCTTCAGCTTTTCCGAGTGCTGGATTACATTCTCCCCAGAGCTGTCTTTGTGTTAATATTTGTAAAAATTATGAAGTATAAGTTTAATTAAATGGTTGGTTTAGTGACCGTTGAACAAGAGGAGAAAAGAACATATTTAAATTAAAACGTTTACAAAACTGAAATGTTATTAGTGATAGGAAAATGGTCCTGTGATGTTGTATGGATGTTTGTATGTAAACTGCTCTGGAATAGGGACTATGCCTTTTTAAAGATTGACTTTTGTTGCATAACTCATTTCAGAAGTGCAGACCTCTTAGACATGGCAGTTGGTCAGTGGGTAGGAGGACTGCTGCTCTTTAAGCTCCTTGTGCAGTGCTGGCTTTAGGGAGCCATGTTGATCCCCTGATGCTGCTGCTAGCTCCCATGACAGAAAACCATTTGCTCTTTTTCCTTTTTATTTTTATTTTCCCTTTTTCAAGACAGGGTTTCTCTGTGTAGTCCTGGCTATTCTGAAACTCTATTAAAGAGACTGGCCTCAAACTCAGAGATCCACCTGCCTCTACCTCCAAAGCCTGGATTAAAGGGATGCACCATTACCCAGTTTACCTTTTCT